AAAAAAAAAAAATAAAAAGTTTAGAAAATGAGTGTCAACAGGAAACGCAGCAAAATCTGGACACATTTCAATTACATTGACCAAACTAAGGCAGAATGTAGAGTCTGCAAGACTAAAATCTCATATTGAGCTGGCTCCACAAACAACCTGCACAGGCACATGACAACTGTTCATCCATCAGTGCAATTGGAAGAAAAAAGACAAGCAAGTGAACCTGATATTGATGAAGGTGCCAGTATGTCTGCTGCAACTGCAGTGTCTACAGCATCGTCCAGTACACCACCACAACCACCTAAAAGTACAATCCAGACCTCTATGAGCCAATTTTTGCAAAAGTCTATGACCGCAGCAAGACAGAAGACAATTGATGAAGAACTGGCCAAAATGATTGCATGTGATTTCCAACCATTTTCAGTTGTGGATGACAAAGGATTCAGAAGGTTTATTCATGCACTCAATCCAATGTATGCAATTCCAAGTAGGAAAACACTCCCAAGGAATCATCCCAGGCCTGTATGACAGAGAACGTGCTTCACTGCAAGAGAGGGTTAAAATAGCCACAGCAGTTTGTCTAACAACTGACACCTGGACATCCCGTACCACCACATCCTACTTGTCAGTTACATGTCACTTTGTTGAAAGTTACAAAATGGTGTCCTGTCTTCCAGATTGTTTTGAGTTCAGTGACAGACACACTTCTGACAACTTAGCAGAGGAGCTGCTCAAAGTGGCAAAAGAGTGGGGCGTGGACAACAAAGTGGTTTGCTGTGTTAGTGACAATGCAGCTAACATAACCAAAGCAATTAAAACCCTGAAATGGACCCACCACCCATGTCTTGCACACACAATCAACCTGTTTGTAAGAGATGCTCTGAAGGTGATGAAGCCCACTGTGAACAAAGTGAAGGCGATAGTGGAGTTTTTCCACAGGAGCACAACAGCCACACACAAGCTCAAATCTACCCAACTACAGATGGGCATGCCTGAGCTGAAGCTCAAACAAGACTGTGTCACAAGGTGGAACTCCACCATTCATATGTTTCACTTTAAATTTAAGTATTAAAAAGCTAAAAGTTTAAAATAGTTAAAAGTTAGTTAAGTTCATTTGTAAATGGTTAAACGTTTGTTTTTGCACTTTCTAATTTATTTTTTTTATCACTCTGTAGAGTGTATAAATAAAAGTGTATTTATATAATAAACATTTGATATAGTGCATGTTTTTTTTTACATTAGTAATTCATATTGCGCATAATTTTACATTATTGTTGGTAATAAATTAATTTAAGCACCAAAAAATCTGAAGAGCCATTTGGGAGCCGAAAGAGCCGGCTCTTTTTAGTGAGCCGAGCCAAAAGAGCCGGTTCTCTAAAAAGAGCCGGAATTCCCATCACTAGTAAACATGGACATGTCCAGGGTCCGAATAATGTATTTCTCCTGTAATGTTAGCAGACACAAACTTCGTCCAGACTCGTTTAGTTTTTATCAGGTTTAGAATTACTTCCGGTGTCGCTTGGCCTCAGTTCGCCGTGTAGGATCCTAGCACTCCAATAAAAAATGACACCGAATTCATTTTCGATTGATGTTACTGAGCTCTTGGTGAATTACCGACCACGGCGACTCTGTTGGTCTCAGTTTTATTTTTAACGCTTTTACTCTGAAGGCTGTAAATGTTCAACTTCCGTGGGTTGGCTTGAAGCAGCCGCGGGAAGCTAAACTATCGTTTCGCAAATATGGCAGAACCGCCGTTCCAGCTTCAGTCAGTTAGCTTTAATATAGAACCCAACCTTGAAAATAACAAAGAACCGAGATGTGAATGTAATGAGACGAGCAGAGTCAACACACTCTGAAAGAAACTTCTTCAAACCTGCTTTGTTGATCAGGAACTCAGACCTCTCATCTTCCAGCAGTTTGCGCTGGCGGCTAATCTCTTCTTCGTAGTTTGATATGGTTGTTTCCAGCAGCCCGGATATCTCCTCCACAGCCACAGCGAGCCGGTGGTTGATAAAAGTTTTCAGCGTCTGGAGTGTGGCCATTTTTAGCAGAAAAGCGGCTGTGAAAAACGTGGTAGTGATATTCCGCTTGAAGCGGACTGCTTCTTCTTCGTTTGCTTTTATGGCGGGTTGCAACCGCTGCTTGTAATGTGCATACCGCCACCTACCGTGCGGAGACAATATATTATCTAGATAAGATAGTGTCCCAGGGCTACTTTACACCATTAGGTAAAACAAGTAATAACTAAATCGTGATATTAATAATTCAAGTAAAAAAAAAACTCACGAAATGCCGATCCATCCCATCTTCTTCAAATATTCCACAACCACTCTGTGTGTTAATGGTTTTCTGCATGCGCTAATATATACTACCCCAGTTATCCCTGTCCCATCTGTCTTACCATTGTCTTAAACATTTCTGTCATTCTTTCTTGAGCATCTCCTCAGCCACCCCTCTACAAATAGGAATATGATCCAATAAAAGCAGAGACCAAGCATAAATGTACTTCCACCCCTATAAATTCTGAATAAACTTTGCTGGATCCCCAACATTAAATCTTCCTATTGGATTTTACAGTTTGTATACTGGAAAGTACTGCTACCGAATCAACACATGCAGCATACACTCTGACTGGTCTTTTCATTGACACACCCCTGCAGACGGCTCTTCTTTGATCTAAGGGTACTTCTAATGTTGCCTGGATTCCCTAAATCCACGTTGACCAACTTGCACCGAATCAATTTTCAGCGCTTCGTTTTGTACTCTATCAATTTTGTTTAAGTGCGTCTTGGCTGCCGTACTATACACAAAACTGTATCTACTGTCACCCTCATCAGAGCCCTACACCAAAAAACAATGTGCACAGCTGTGCTTCTCTCCTGGGTGCAGCTGGTGCAGGATAATACGCAATCAACAACAAGGACGAACAATGCGTTTTGCATGTTGCCTTTAAATAGTCCAAAATTTCCCAATACAAATGCAACACAAAAAGGCAACAGTACTATTATTGTACCGTATAAAATTAGATATACATATAACCCTTCCATGAGATACAATTAATGTCAAATTACATGAGGATGAGTAGACCCAGAATGCAACACAGCATACCTTCTTTATTCTTTACTCTATAAGTACAAAGAACATGAATATCCTCATAATAACACACATACCAAAAACTACAATATAGGTAGACAAAATATATATAAGAAGAAAATACAAAAAACACAATACAGAGTAGATATTTAATATTCATGTCTTAATAAGGAAGGGTGGCGTAAGCGGTTGTGCCAAGAGGGGTTGTGGTGGCTCGACTTTACCTGTAGGCACAACGTAGGTTAGTCATGGACTCAAAAAGGGACTCAAGTCTAATGGCTCATTCAACTGATGTGACACCAAGGAGTTGAGTGTTCATATCCACGATGCTTCCTTCTTCAATAACTGATCTCTGATATTGTCACCCCTAGAGTTGGGAATCTCAATAGTGGTGAATTTAAGAGAGACAGCAGAACCACGGTTTCTTGAAGTGCCTCGTCATAGCGTAATCAAAGTTTTCATTCCTTATTGCTGCTTTATGTTCATCTTATCTCAGTTTCAGATTATGCTTAGTTTGGCCTATGTATATGAAGCCACATAAACATTTCAGCATATACATATAAAGGTGAACCTGCCCCTCAGGATCTAAACTAATGCACATTCACACACTGTTGGCACTGAATCCGGGAGATATTTGGGGTTCAGTATCTTGCCCATGGACACTTCAATATATGGGGGCGACTCCTCTGGTTGTATAGAAGTCTATGAGAAAATGACTCTACTTCTCTCTTGATTTATTACCTCAGTAAACATTGTAAACATGAGTTTATGGTCTCAATCTCTAGTTTCAAGTCTTCTTCAATACAGCATGATGTTCATTTAGTAAATTATGGTCCATTTAAATAGACCATAAAGCAGGGTATGCTTTAGGGCGGGGCTACCCTGTGACGGGTTGCTGCCATTGTCCAGTCTGGGAGGTGTCCATATTTTTTCATTTTAAAACTTTAACCCTGTCACAGTGCAGTAAAATGAGAGGTTTTCTAAAGGCTATCTGGTGTTCGGAAACACTACCACTTTTGTCCATTGGGGCCACCTAAATCAGCACAAAATGAAAGTTCCTTGTTGTAACTTTAAGATAAAAAAGTAACCTTGAACTTGATTCATGACCATTGCATTCCCTATCTAATATCTTTTGAATGGATAGTCCTTATGGGCAGGTGGCTCAGTGTTAATATAAATTACAACATACAGAATACTTGTCTATTCTTTACCTTTATTTCTTCCGCTTTGTTCATGTTCCTAGCTGTTATTTATTTTTCTGTGTTAAGTATATTGAGAGAAATGCAAGAAATTGCAAAAATTCCTTGTATTTTCACACATACTTGGCCAATTCAGGTGATTCAGATTATGCTGCTCATCTCACTTTCACATTGTTAGTACAGGCTGTGAACACTAATTAGGCTGCCAATAAAAACTTTAGTGTCTTGTCTTCTCAGCCAATAAAAGGTGAACAGATATCTTTGAGTTTTAGTTATTTTCACCTTCAGTTGATTGCAAATGTTGAAAGGTAAACCTGAGATTCAATAAGGGACTCTCAAGGACATCATCCATAGACAACAATACAGAAATGTTGAATTTACAACAAAAAAAACTAATAACTGTCTTTAGAATTTGTCTTTGTAAATGGACTGCATTCATTTAGTATTTTGAGCCAAAAACCCATTCACAGCACAGATTGCAGCGAGCTACCATGTAAGGTGCTGACCATCAGGAGCAGTTTGGGGTACTACGTCTTTGCCACACTTCAACATGTGGGCTTAAAAAACATAAATTTCATTACAATTTCAAAAGGACTGGAGTCAGCAATATAAAACAAACGTGTGGTTAGTACACTGAAGGCTATAGCTGCGGTTTAGATTTTTATCTGCCATTTTTGTTTTCTGTAAAACACTTCGTAACCTTGTTAAGAAAAGTGACAAATTAATTAAGTGTATTTAATATTCTGATCACCTCCTGAGCGACAGTTGCATGTCTATGTTGATACTACTCAAAAAAAATGTTGGAGAACTGGATGCAGCATTGGAGACAGCGCCATGTTCATTCCAATCAACATTGCTAAGAGTATGAAAACCAAGAAAGAAAGTAAGAAGATCATTGCTTCACTACTGCTGCTGTCACTTTGGAGTTTTGATGTGCGACTGTAAACTGAATGCTATCGAGTTCTCTCAGAATCCCTTTGTCAATCTCTCACCAACAAAGTTCTCTCTTCTGTGGACCGTCATGTGTTGTGTCAGATTTCCTTTTTGTGTAAATCTTTCGCCACAAACAGAACAACTAATTGGTTTGTCCCTTGTGTGGATCGTCATGTGTTGTGTCAGATTTCCCTTCTGAGAGAATCTTTTACCACAAAGAGAACAACTAAAGGGTTTCTCTCCAGTATGACATCTCATGTGTGTCTGAAGATGGTGCTTCTGGTCAAATCTTTTGCCACATTTTGAGCAGCTAAACAATTTATTGCCAGTATAATGTCCCACATCACTTACAGGAACTATATTTTTCACAACACTTAAATCTGTCTGAGGTTTCCTGATCCCCTTCCGATCAGCATCACGTTCTTTAGTCACAGCACCAGAACACCGTGAAGTCTTATTAGCAGGTCCAGAGAGACATTTAAAAGCAGGGACTGACCCCCTGTCTGGTTCTGATCCTCCACCGTCCTCTCCATCAGCGTCTGTTTCCATGTGTTCAGCTGAGCTGCTGGCTGGAGGCTCTGCCTCTCTGTCTTCGTCAGTTTGTCTTTGATGAGGCGGTAAGGACTGAGGTTTCTCCTGGTCATCCTCACTCTTCACAGCGATAGGAGTGAATGGGAGCTCTGGGGTATCCTCCTGCAGTGCTGGTAGCTGGCTTTTAACCTCCTGACTGGTCCAGAAATCCTCCTGTTCCTCTTTAATGTGTGGGCACACTGGGTTCTCCTGGTCCAGGCTGGGCCTCAAATCCTGCTGCTCTTCTTTAATCAGCAAATTAAGCTGGACATCTGCAGAAAATCAAGTTCACGTTAACCCGAACTCCATATCAATATCAATAAGCACCGCCATTGATATACTGTAGTTCTATACTTTCTATTTATTGTATTTATTACCTGGGATTACTCTGTCGTGTTGTATACCCGTCTGTTTTTAGCTAGTTCCTTAGTGACTTGATTTAACGGTGTCTCGCCAGTTGTATACGTTGTTGATGAGAACGATATTTTGCTTCCGCATACATGCCAAGCGTGTACTTTGGTCGTGACAATACAATTCATCTTGACCTTATATGGGGTGTAGAAATATTAGAAAAACTGACCATGAGGATGTCGTGTGGTGGTTATGTCGTTGTGATGTCAAGTGTGTTACTTTTGAAGTTGGTGTTTGATACACCTTATGTCTTATTAATGTGTGGCTATAATCAGATTTTGAGGTGCATCCACTTCCATGTTCATGCTATGCTTTGCGTGTTGCCATGCTGCATGACTTCCCCTCTGCTGTGAATGTTGGATTGCTTGGTGCAGGAGTCTTTATTTCTGCTCTGATGGATGCTTGTTGCCTGCTAATTCGTGCAAGCACAGATGAACTATACGTTTGTGCTTATGTGCTTTCGTATGTTTAATTTGAATGTGTATAATAAGCCATCCACCTGCCAGGAACTGCAGGAGAAAATCAGCGTATGGCTAAATCTGGTACACTTACATAACCGACTGAAGTGCTCATGTTAATTAATGTGCATTGTCCTATTGCAAATAAATAAATAAAATTTAATTTTCATTGCAGACGTGGTATGTTGTTGGTGTAAACTGTTAATATACACATTGCTCTGGAATAGAGAGTCTGAATGCACAACAGGAAACAGTTGATGATAACTGAAGCGTGAGGAGACTCAAGGTAAAGAGTACCGTCTGTGCAGCGCGCACTTAGAGGTTCATCAGTTCTTCACAGATAAGAAGATAGACAGAGACGTGCAGAAATTACAGTACATCTTCTGAATGTACCAATACCAACTTGTCTGAATGTGTGGAAAGCAACATTTAATCACATCCTCAGTCTGTGGTCATGATCGACCTTTTCATCTTTATCTACATCAACAGTTTCCTCACAATTGCCAAAGTGTAACGCCCTTAAATATTTAGGTGGTAAAGCATAAGAACATTAGTTGCTATGGCAGCTGAGTACAAACGGTAGGAAGCATACGCTGTATCAGTGTTGGGATTAGAAGGGGGTCCTTGGATAAACCTCTGGTCTGTAAGGGGCCCCCTGCCCCAAAGAGTTTGAGAACACCTGGCGTGTGAGCACAACAGAGACACCTGTACGAAAATGCACGCGCAGTCGCACAGCCTGCCGGGCTATGTAAACAAAGCTTCATATAGCAAATAGTTGTTTACTGCTCACAGTACTACTCTAGAACCCGTATGCTGGGTTAGCCTGAGCTAGCAGCTCAACATCGTCATGTTGTCATTGACTCAGAGCAGCACTACCGACACAGCGGACGTGTTCACACTAACCGACTGTTTGCAGCTTCTCCTCACGTTTGGAAACCGAATCCAGCAGCTTGCGATGGCGGCACTCCATCTCCTCTTCATACTCGGTCATTGTGGACTCTAAGTGGCCGATTATCTCCTCCACAGCTGCAGTGAGCCGCTGGCAGACGAACACTCTCACGCTCTGGAGTCTTAACATTTTCGACTGTTCAAAGCAGAGAGAAGGAACCGCTAAATGATGACCGCGTGTTGTTACTTTGAGCTAAAGCGCGCCTACTTCTTTTTCTTATTCTTTTTCTTCGTCTGCTTCTGCTTCTTCTTCTTCTTTGCGTGTTTTGGCGGATCGCAATACCACTTCGTAGGGGCACAGCGTCACCTACAGTAGCAGATCGTGTAGAACGGGTAGAATAATAATTAATCTATTACCCCTCTCTGAGTTTCCCACACCATGCCTCCATTTGTTCCTATCCCTTCCAAATCCCATTCAAGCCTCTCTCACCCTTTAGGGGTAAACTTTCTTCAATATATTTGACACAGTGCAGAAACATGTGTTCAGTATTTATAACTATATTCCAATGTGCACATGTGTTTTTACTTTTCCCCATAGAAATAGTGTTTTATTTGAACCTCTTTATCCCTAGCCCTATTTTTAGGCCTCTGCTCGAAAATTGCATTACCATACCTAAAAGACTCCAAATCTGTAACTACAAGGCCTGTTTTAATAATTTTGATGGTAACTCTTGTTAGATGTGTTAATATGTGAAAATATTGTGTATATTTTAATAGTGAATGAAGATGGCACAGAGGTCAAATTGAAAAGTTTCAGGTACGCCTGAAAAAAAAGCACTTGTATTGAAATTATGTCTTTGAAATAATGCAGCTGAAAGCCTAAAACACTCCCAAATCATAGCACAACATGTCGCAGGGCTGTATAAAAAGATTTGGCTTTGATAAAGTGAGGCAAACAAAAGTTATAGAGTTTATTGTGTCAGAGAGGTCGCAGGAGGTCAAGCAGATTTGTCATTTTGGAACCTGTTCCATTGTACTTTTATATACTATATAACTATATTTTTCACTTGTTTTATCACTCCTAGTATTCAATCTATCCAAATACAGTAGTTCGGCATCATTTTGAGCAATTTTGAGCTCTCATATCTCTCCTCCATGGAATTTTTTCGTCTCTGTCTGAGTCAATAAGCCCATTCTAAGGCCTGTGATTGGCGGATTTCATCATGTGATACCTTGTGAGACCCGGATGAATGTCAGGAAAGCAGTAGGCGGGTTCTTGAGTAGAACCTGCCTACTGCAGACTTTTTAGCGACTAAAAATCCCAATCTGTGCCGCGTAACCCCCATGCGTAAAATTATTCGCCGAACACTGGAATGCCGACCATTTTGTGATAGTTTCACCCCAAAACGCCATTTTCTCACACACACCACAGTGGAGCAGAGGGACAACACGGCTGAAATGGATTACCGTCAATTTCCAACGTTTTTCTTCAAGAAAATCACCTCAAGGTACGATGCGTTTACATTTTTTTGCTGTGGAGCGGTTTGTTGTTCGTTGGCTTTCTAGATGTAACTTTTTAATGGTTTCACGGAGAGGAATTTAGACGCTACGGGTGGATTCGTGGTCGAATCCTCGTGCTTTCTCATCTATTGATCGGCCATGATAACTGCTAAAGTTGTGTTGGGAGATGCAAACGTAGTGCATAGGTCGCCGATTCGTGGCGAAAAATACGTGATATTGTGGTAAATCTTCTAGATATGATACTAGTTTGTGTATAATTGTGTTTGCAGTGTGTAAAATGGCTGGTAAGATGATTTTGCCCAGACTTTTTTCGTTAATTCGGTATATAATATGTTTGGAGCATTCATTATATTTGTTTATGTAAAGTGCATTCTATGACACGTTACCATGCTAAATGGTCTCGCTCGAACCCCAAATGGGGCTCGCTCGTCAACATCTACTTGTTCCGTCTTTTGAACTTTATAGTATGCTCAGCCTTTTACTGTCCTCGTCCCATTCTTCCTGCCAAAGTTCTGCCAAGTGTTTTTTTTTTTATCATTGCAAATGGAATGTTCATTATATATATTATATATATATTTTGTGATCTTTTAGCAATCCCGTCTGCAAATTCATTACCCTTTAATCCCAACACAATTCTAGTTATTCCCAGTCTTTGAAATCTACACTACCACTGAAAAATGGCTCACATTATATCTTAATGGTCTGTAAACTTTGAAAACTGCTGCAGTCAATACAAAGCATCTGGTCTCACTCCTTCCACCCACTGACATCCAATAATCTCTGTCAGCATCTCAGCTGTATAGTTTATGTTATTATGTTCCCTAAATTAATTAGAAATTGTGAAATGTAAACTCCTGTTCCAACATGATGATGTTGGTCTTTTGAGCCATCAATAAATATTAGTAAGTAATTATAAATATGATTCCTTATACTGGTTTGCAGTGTCCTTTTTCTTTTTCCACCCAGTCTTCCCAGCTCGATGATAATAAAATCAACTTTAGCCTGAGGAAGTAGCCATGGGGGAACATTACTTATTGGAGTAGTGGAATAAAAAAACGTATTCCTTTAACATCAGTTTCTGATTTTATTTTTTATCTTTCATCCAACCATTTCTCTTTAATTACTTAGACTCCTGGCATTTGTTTAGGACACTTTTGGTAGTATTTTCAACCCCACATCCTCTAAGAGGAATCCAGTAAGCCAATGCAAGTTTGACCCGTCTGAGTTGTAGTGTGGTTTTCTCCTGATTCTTCCAACACAGCGCTACTCAAGTCTCAAGGCTTTGAACTCTGTCAATTTGATTTCAGTGAGATTTAGCTACTGCCCCACAAACACAATACTCATAATCAATTGCTGATCTGGTCAATGCCCTATATCCATTAATGCCTGCGTATCTGCTCCCTAGTGTTTTCCAGATATAGCTCTCATTAGATGAATTACTTTTCTACATTTTGTTTCTATCTTTTCAGCATGTACTTTCCATGTACATCTTTGTCAAGCCACATTCCCAAGTACTTGAATTCCTACTTTTTCCATCGGTTGTCCGTATAAATGGAGTCTTTGCTCTAGTGAAACACATATATCATGACTTTCTGGGTGAAAGTTTAAATCTCCAAATGTATGAAAATGGATCTACCTTTACAAAAGCCTTCCTAATCTCGATTCATCTTTCCCCTTGATTCATATAGCTGTCATCTGCATATAGGGATGAGCATATCCTTTTATAGATTCAGGGCAATATTATTGCCCACAATGTTAAATAACACTGGACTAATGATCCTTCCTTGAGGGAGTCTGTTAACTATATCGTAAATATCAGATACCACTTTAACTATGAACATTCGTTCTGATAGAAAATCTAGTGCCCAGTTGTAAAACCTTCCACCTCTGCCCATTTTATTCATTGAATTAGCAGTCCTTCCCACCACATAGTTTTTGATCTTATCTCATCTTAAATGATTTCTCAATTTCATTACTTTCTCTGTCAACAGCATCCATCTTAGATCTTACTTTCCTAAATCCATTCTGCTATGATGCTAATATTCCTCTCTGTTCTAGGAAATAATAAAGTCTAAAATCTTTTCCATCCATTTGCACTGAAGTGAAGTTAAGGTGATGGGTCTATAACTTCCAGCATTATTTTGATCCTTTGTGGTTTACTAAAAGATAAAATGAGTGCACTCTTCCAACTGTGTGGCATCAGTCCTTCCATCCAAATCTCATTAAATAATTAGTCTCTCCCACCAGGGATACATGGAGAGACTCAAGGAAACGATGCAAGGACAGAGGAAACAAGGAAATATGTTTTAATATACGTCCTTTCCTCTGAAGCGTCATGTGAAGCAATGTCTGTTTCTGATGAGGATCAGCTGATATCACAGCTGGATCAACTGTCAGTCGGCTTATCAGCTGGAGAGACTTTTGAGAAGTTTGTGTCTGTTCACATGATCACACTTTCAGGTTACATGGCCACTCAGACGTTAAGGATCCTGAAACAGTCTTCCAGTCTTCCACCATCAATGCCTGTCAGTAGCGAGCCGTGCATTTTATACATGGGCCTTCACTGCTGTCCTGCAGCTGAAACACAGCTACGGTTATTATTTGTTTTGTGTCAAAATGAAGCCAACACCTATAGATAGAGTGCGTCTCCTCTCTGCTCTGACTGCAGCTGGGACTGCTGCGCGAGGCACCTGTGTGTGCTTTGGGGCGGTGGAGGTGCTCACGGCATCTCCCGCTGCTCGTTCACGACAGTGCAGAACATACATGCTTTCACGAGTCAAAACACCAGAAAAGTCTCCAACAACACCAGAACAAGTCGCTAGATTTGTCACTAGTGGCTTTTGACAAAAAAAGTCACCATGAGGGTTTGGAAAGTCGCCAGATTTAGCGAGAGAGTCGCCAAGTTGGCAACACTGGCACCGGCTAAATATGTCCCCAGCGCAACATCGGACGTAACAATGGCTCCTATCACATATAAAACCAAACAAAAATCTTAATAAAAACAAGATGTACAAATAATAATATATAAACAAGCATATTAAAGCTACTGCAGATGTAAAAACAAACGCATTTAACTTACCAGAGGTGCTGTTCACTATTTAAAGACAAAGTCCATCCTCCTTTCTTTGTTAATAAAGAGTTTAATCTCACAGTTGTTCAGTACATCCGTGTGTTTTAGTTCCAGGAAGAAGTCCTTCTCGATTCATGGACGCCAGTGAAGACAGTCAAGCCTCACCAGTTGTATTTCTTGAATAGGTTTTAATGCGTTTGAGGGCTGAAAATGTCCGATCGACAGAGGCAGCAGATATTGGGATTGTCACCGCCCAACATGTCAGGCTAGCCCACTGACCAATCACGTATGGCTAGGCCAGCTAGCAGGCTCTGACATGTCAAAGAATACGCCCAACATGTTAAACTAAAGATCTGATTGGTTGTACACTATGACAATCAACAATATCGTCCCCATTTACTTAAACTGCAAAGGGATTCACTTGTGAGTCTGCAGGCCTCTGCCTCTGTTCTTACCTAGAGACACAGAGGTGAGATCTGATTGGATAAAAGCTCTACTTAAAACAAGCTGCACTGGAAGCAGAGCAACTGAGGAAGACAGTAGCGATGAGAAGATAAGATAATGAGAAAAATATTTTTAGAAATTATAATACATGTAGTGTATTTAAGAAAAAATATTAAATTATAATATAGCTATAACTTTATGATTCTGTTTAGGCCAGCAGAGAAGGCTTTGCAGGCCCCGACGGCCCGCC